CATTACTTCCAAACATTCCCAATCTCTCCTTTCTGTAAGTTTCTGGTCAATCCGAATGTATAATTGGATGAACTTCTCAAGATCGTTAGGAGTCTCTACTCCGGCGAGCTCATCCTTCACCTGTTCAGAGAGCCCTTGCCGAAACGGACTCTTTTGCGCTGCTGGGTTCCAGGTGGTATCTGAGATCCATCGTCGAAATTCAGTTGTATACTCCGCAACAGGGCGTCTACCCTGCCGCAAACTATGCAGCTTTGCTTCAGCGGTAGGGATCATCAAAGACCTGATTCATTGCAGTCACAAAAGTCTCAAAGCTGTTTAACATTGCGTTGTCTTGCTCTATATAATGAGAGGCCCAAGCTAGGGCTTCCTCAGTCAGGAGGTTTATAACAAATAATACCGTCTGTTTCTCAGAATTAAATGCAGCAGGTTGCATCTGGAAATAAATGCGGCATTGGTTAAGGAAACCCCTGTAGTGGCGGCGGTCTCCATTGAACTTGAAAGGCAGAGGCATGCGTGTATTAGCAACATCGCGTGAACTTAAGTCCAGCAATCATCTCTGCAGAGCATGGATCACTTCCTGTTGCCCCTCTACTACACTTTGCAGTTGGGAAAATTTCTTTTGGTAGGTAACACCAAACTCTTGCAGCTCTGAAATTTGCTGCCTGACAGGAGCCATGGCATTTGCTATAGCGGCCTCCATGTTTGGGCCAGAATATTCTGTCACGGTGTGTGGTCAGGTTCAGAGACCAATTGCTACAGCAGTTGTAAGGCTTACCTGAAACCAGCAGGATTGGTACACCAGCGGGTCACCCTGGGAATGACGCAGGCTCACCTGAGGTGCGGGGTTGAAGTATCCACCGGTCTTCACCAGAGCTCCTAATGGTGGAGAGATGGATTTGGCTGCGTGTGAATACCAGGTCGCAGTCTCAGGATCCCCCCACCAGGGAAAGGGCACGCTGGAAACCAAGAGCGGATCAAACAGTTTAGGGATGACACAAAAGCGGAGTCAGTCACAAGCCAAAAGTCGGTCACAAACGATATAGACTGCCTGACACAGTAGAAGTCCCAGGTTCAAGTCCAGGCCCTGACACCCTACTTTGCGCTTCAAAATGCGAATTTTCCAGTGAACACAGTGCCAACATGGGGCAAACGGACACAAACTGCAGGAGAGCCAGTAGGTTCATATCTGGTTACCGACCTGAAATGCCACAGACCATATGTTAACACAGTTAAACATCCAACACGTTTCAGGGTAATTGCCTCCCCCTTCAATGGCCTTAACAGTGGGCTTAACATTTATGCTGTTATTGACCCATACAGTATTTGATAAACAGAGGCTAAAAACCTGGTTTGGACTTAACCACCTTAGCATGTCCCTGGAAGGGACAGGTAAAAATCCAAACGTGTTTCAGGGTAGTTTCTGGTACAGCTTTGGATGCTGCTCCCCTTGCTTGCTAGATGTTTTGTCTAGCTTTGAGCGGGGCGATATATGCTTGCTAGATGGTTCTCATCGATCTTTAGCTGGTTGTGCCAAAACACCGGGCACAGTGGTCTAGAGGAGGATGGCTAATTATGTCTATTAAAGACAGCCATACTGAACCTGGTACTACACTTAACCGATGCATATTACAAAAAGCTTTATTCAGTGGAATTATAATAAAATCAGAAACAGACAATGTACTAAGATCACCAAGCTAGGATGCAGCTGGTGTAATCTGGTGGAACCGGTCTGGCGTGAACCTTCCACGATGTTTGCCTCTCTCTGGGACCTTCCAACCATCCAGTCATGGAAAACTATAAATTGACAAGATGGTATTTAGCATAAAGAGCTATAACAGGCTGAAGGACATAGTGACTATTATCTCTTGTTCCAACAGATATGGGTTCCCCCCTGATTCCCCCTTATGTTGCAGCTCCCAACTGGTTGTGCCCGAAACAAAACATCTGGCACATTGGTCTAGAGGAGGATGGCTAAAAATGTCTATTAAACACAGCCATACTGAACCTCCCTCGCACTCCAGTAAATCTTAATATTTCACTCCATGGAGCCCATGGAGGTTTTAGGATAAGGGGACTGGTAGTGCCCGGAACACAATACCGGGCACAGTGGTCTAGAGGAGGATGGATAAATAGGCTACCAGAATAAACCAGACACTGATGAGCGCCACCACCTTGATACTGGTATATTAAGGGCAGCCACCGCTGAACCTCCCTCGCACACCAGCGAGCCAATGGGGGCTTTAGGATGAGGAAACTCCGTATGTGTAGACCGTTATATATCCAAGAGAAAGTCACCATAGGTAGTCTGAAAGTGATAATAGAATAAAATGTTACTCAATGTACTTATCATTCCAAATGTATAGGTCCCACAGAGAGTCAGGGCATTGTAGAAGGGTCATGTCTGACCAGTTTCGCAAAGTGAGACCGGCTGCTTTAGAGCTTTGTGGTGATGGGGATTTTAGTAGTATATGGTCTGCCTCTCTGATTATAATTGTACTGAATAAAGCATTTTGTAATATGCATCTGTTGGGTAAGAGTACCTGATTGTAGAGGTTAGCACACCTCTTGTCAAGATGGGGACTGCTAAAGATGAGGAAAGGGACCTGTCTGTGCGATATCATTGCACAGAGTAGGTAAGCATAAAAGATGGCTGTGCGGTGTTTACATGTTGGATGTTGTAGGTCTTGATGACACGATGGTACTGCAGGTCAGTTGCATTGCTGGTTGATGGTATTGCAGGACGGTGGCATGACTGGTTACAAAATGTAATATACTCCATCTACAAGAGAACAAATTAGACAAGTTAGACGTAAGGAAGGACATAGCAGTCCTACAGAAAATAAAAGAATATAATGAAAGCTGGCCTTTCACTTTAATCTGCGGAGAAATTGAAGCCTGGTTAAGGATCCAATTGAACTAAGTGAACTAACCGAGTGAACTAATATAGGTTCACTTTAATTGCTGGCAGAGTATGTAAGGCTAGGTTCACACGGTGTGGGGTGATTGCGGGTGCGAGAATCACAGCTGGTCCTGTACGCACAACCACCTGCAGCCAATACGTGCTGCTCTGTAGAGACACGCAGCCGCAAACCCACATAAGTGTGACCCTAGGGTTACATCTGGTAGTGTCAGCCTACATTCACTCAGTAAACACTCATGACTTACCTGTTGTTTGGAGGAGTTGAACCATCCCTGCAGATGATGACAAATATGGCAGCATCAAATTAGCGGAGGCTTCTGATGGAACTCTGGGAGAACTTGCACTGGTGTCCTCTACTGAAGAGGATATCTTCCTTCTCTTTGGTCAGGCCGATATTCCCAATCTAAAGAAAAGCAAAATGTTATTATAGTGTATAATACAGATGGAGGGAAAAAAACTGGTGTGGAAAAGTCAGAAGAAATCATCTACTATAAATCAGACTCCATAAATACAGCCTACAGATTGGATTTGCATACAGATGGATTTGCATTGTACTTTGCACAGATGAATTGGGATTATCCAATACTCACGACTATCGGTTATCATGGGTAATCCCTATATCTGCAGATGTGAAGCTTGGTAAAACTCTGCTTTTCAGTTGAAGCAGAAATATTTTCCATATACATAAAATACAAGCCTAAATAGTGATTGATTGTGATCAAATTTGTAAAAAATTGACTCAGAAATAATTGTGGATTATCAAATTATTCAACCCCTATCAGAGGTTCATCAGACTTTCCATAAAAACACCTTGGATTCACAGCAGCAATGGATCAGCTTTAAAATGGTGTAATCCTTCTATATCTGCAGGTGATTTGATTTCCATCTTCAATGGCTATAAGAAGATTGCATATAGACACCTCAAGACATTTCAAGGCATTGATGCTACCTGGTGGAAATCTGATATCTGCTGTGCAAGAATTGGGTTTAAAAAGATGTTGTAAGCAATGTAGGTAAGTGCAGAACTGCAAGCAATTTGCAGATTGGTACTATAATGGTTTTAAACTGTTTGGGCCCATGGATCAAGCATATGTAGAAGTATGCTAGCTGTAAAGATTGCCTACAAGCATTGGGTCCTGCCTTTCTTTTCTTGTTGAATGTGTAGAATGCTGATTTCAGTTGGAACTTTTTCATTCCACATTGGGTCCTCTCAGCTTGGTTTTCCAACTCGAGTGTTTTTCAGTTGAGAACCTTTTGTGGGCCAGAGCAGAAATCTACCCGTAGGGCCAAGACACTTGTGTCAAGCAGCTGTTTTATAAATGTAAGAAAAGACATTTGTTCAAGGGCCAGAGCATCTGTATCCCAACAGTGAATTCTCAATAGACATATATAGAGGACTTATTTGATGACACCAAAGGCTCAAGTAAAAAGCTTTCAGCAAGTGTTAGGGGCTAGCTTCCATGAGCTGTACCCTCTGAAGATCGATCCACGGTGGATCACTTTTCTGATGACGTTTGACAGGAGGAGAAGAGGCATTTTGTTTCTTCCCCACCACCTGTTGTAGCCTCTGAAAACCTGCACAACCAGCATGTGTACAGCCGCTGCCTGCACAGCCTAGGGGGGGGGGGGGGGGGGGGGGGCAGTAAAAACATGGCTCAGCTGTTTGTTTTGACTGACCCCAGCTACAGGTGTAAACATAGCCTTATAGCTGTGCCAGTGAAGGGGGAGATATCCCCACCCGAAACCTGTAAATACCCCTCAGGTGAACAGATCCTGTCCTGCTATAAAAGTCATGTGTTTTTGATAAAGGTTTGCTCTAAGATGCATTTTCTTATTTGTTAATCATAAAGGGAAATATACAAATTGCATAGCGAACCATAAAAATAATTGTACAAAAGTGTCAACATTGCACTATGCTATTATAACGATGACATATTTCATTTCAGCATTTGGATATGTAATATGTCATGCAGGGGCCAATCCATCGGATAAACGAACGGACTTTTCTGTACTGATAGTAAAACTAGTTTTCATCCATTGGAATATGAATCCTGTAATGAGGACTAAGAACTGTGTCTGACTACTTACTTGGATACTCTTCAGCGTGTTTCCTTTTAAGTCGCTCCGCCTCCTCATAATAGGGCTTTTGCTGCTCCAGTGACAGGTTTTTCCATTCTTCTCCAAGCCTGGCACTAATGGTGGAAAATGGGGTGCCAGGATAGGCTTGGTTCAAGACTGGACGGTGAATGCGAGACCAGATCATGTACGCATTCATTGGCCGTTTCACACGTCCCTTCTTGTTCTTGGAGAACGCCACGTCTGATAGTCCTAGAAAAAAGAATAATGGAGTTATACCTGGGGCAGTCACAATTTTCAGACTGTGTAATAGAGGTATTAATACCAAAAGGCATCTAAAGCTAAAAATCAAAATCTATATTTTGCAGTTTTTCAGTCCTTAGCTGTAGTGAGTGCATTTGTTCCTTTTCTCTGGTCTTGTTTCTTTTATTTTTATCTTTTGATCAAAGCAGTAACACACTTCCTGTCCTAGGGGTGACAACGCTCCTTCCTCTGTATATATAGAAGGAGCAGCAT